TGCAAACTGTTGGGTTTTCTTGTAATTATGTTTAAGTCAAATAAACAATTTCTTATCCAATGTTGAATCAGCCTGGCTCCTCTGTACAGTCTTTACACATAGAGTAATTGTTCTGTTTGTGTGGCAAATTTAATGGGATCTAATTTTAATTAAACATGTTTGTTTAAAGCGTTTGCCAATGGATGGCTCATAGGCAACATTGTTTGAGAAAGGTAAATAATCTAGTACAGGTTCCATGTTCATCTGGCACATATTTTTATTCATGTAGTCCTCTGATAGCTTGCATCTCCGTGGTTGAGCGCCAAGTGGTGTTTATGGATAACCTTTCACATAAGGTCACACCTGGCATAATTAGCAAGAGGTAATAAATGTATTGCTTTACAAATATACTGAGTTCTAACTCATGAATGCAATGTCCGTCTATACCACTTTTTCCTGAACAGGGTCGCTGGGGTCCTGGAGCCAATCCCAGCTGGCAATGGGTGAGAGGCAGGGTCCACCCTGGACAGGCCAAAAGTCTCTCACAGGGCTAGCACATAGACAACCACACGCACGCAAGTTGTATGTCTTTGGACTGTGGGAGGAAGCCGGAGCACCCAGAGAAACCCACACAGGCACAGGGAGAACGTACAGACTCCGAACTTGGAACCTTCTTGCTGTGAGGCGACAGCACTAACCACTATTGCACTGTGCCATGAATACAAGATAGTTCAAATTCAAAGCGATGGAAGGATAGATTCATATTGGACAAATAAACCAGACAGTGGCGCTATCACACACTGGTTTACAGGTTGAGCACTGATGGCAAAGGTCTCCTGTCTAGTCAAGACAGGAAAAAACAACATAAGCTGCATTAAGATGACAACACAAGATTCATTACATAGCATATTATCCGAAAAACAAAAACCGCTGTAAACACAACTGCTGTAATTCATACAGCAGCTGAATGATTATGACTAAATAAATTGCTCGACAAGTTCAGTGTACGCCTATAAAATGTAATGTCTTCATTATAACAGTGATTACATTGTTTTTGTCTTAAAGTTGTAGCTATGTGTTGACTTTTTTCTTAAAACTGTATTGACAATATGTAAGACACACTCAGGGTGATACATTCTTCTTCGTCTTCTTCGTTGTAGTCGTCTTCTTCTACTTCGTCTTCTTCTTCTTATTATTATTATTATATGAGTAAAATGGAAAAATACGTAAATTTAATTACAAATCAAACAAGACTCTATCAGATATAGTTGAATATATATATTTTTGGACCTGTTTTGTCGTTTGCCTTAGAAAGAAACTTTTCCCAACACTTTGGTGTGGGCATTGAACTCGTCCAACGTGACGTCTGCGTGTATAGAGCTTGATTGGTCGCTTGGCGTTTGGACGTGACAAGCTGACGACTTTTGTAAAGTAAAATGGTGCAACGTTATTATCGAATGAATTAATGGCTGTCCTCTGATCTCACGGCAATTTACTGTGCTCCAGATTCGTGTTGTTCCCTGTAACGGCGCGGGTAAAAGGTATTGTTGGAAATGGATAATATTACGCTTTGTGATTAACTACTAGCTTAGCTTGCTAACTAGCTTAACGCTGTTGTCTCACTAATTCTACCACCTAGATCAGTCTGCTTAATAGACGGCGGAGGTCTTGTTGTAACTAACGTTTGTGAATAAAAAGACTTTTGAGAACGTGATCATTGTACCAAGATTGCTATCTTACATATCAATAAGGCTGTTAGCCTCACTTAGCCGTAACATAATTAACTTATTAAACTGTAACGTTATGTAGGTAGGCTGCCGCTAGCTTTAGTTATTTATCAGGTGGTTAGCCAACAGTAAAATCATACCGACAATGTGCTGCTTTGCACTTAAGCGTAACTTTAGAGTTTCTCAGACATTCTTTCAAACTCATGAAGACTTTGTCAGGTCATGCTGTCATAAGCCTTCAGAGCCCCACAATAAGCAACACCATTTTCCAGACCTAAGGTACCCTTAACACACAGCATCGCTGAACCCTGTCCTTACCCAAGCAAAGAGCAGATATGTGGCTTGACACAGTATCTGCCTTGTATTTGCTCAGGTTAAGCAGTCACTGGCCCAGCTGGCTTGTAATGGCAGCCATCTCTGATAGCTGGGTCCTCATGGTTGTACAGCAACTGACATGATTGTATTTCTGTAATTTGTTGTAGACTCTTGACAATGTGAAATAATGTTCTGTTAGGTGTTCACAGTTTTCAATTAAACTGCCATTTTTGCAGTTGGAGTCTGGAGCTGCGTTTGCTCAATGCAAGCTCCTGGCTCAGGCTGTCTGTTTAAGTTGACTTTATTCTGTTCAATTTTGACTTGAGCTTCATGAGTGAGTGTGCCCTATTCGTTTACCTGCAGCTTCACTGTGTGAGATGGACGGTGGAGAGGAGATGCGAGTGGAAGCAGCCCCATACTGCTGCTCCACCTGTGATGGAGGGGAGGTCACGGGCCGCAGCCTGTCTCGACACAACAGGAAGATCCGCAGCCTGAGCACCTCCTCAGCCGGCAGCTCTTTTGAGTACAGGTAGGTGTGGAAGATGGATAATAAGTTGCTGACACACCTGTTATTATGTTTGCAGTTAAATATCAGCAAAACTATTACTAAATAACTTCATGTTGCTACTTCTATCCATGGAGTAAGCCTTTAGCCTGGACTGTTGTCAGATATTCACTCAGCACATTGCCACGACACATTCACCTGAGTTACTGCTGTATGGTGTTTAAGGACACCTGTTGTTGCTCTAGGCTTCTCGGGAATTGTTTTTGAAACAGCATTGTGACATGATCGATGTTGCATCACTTCAGACATTTGTGAAATGCACAGCGCCACAAGCCAGCACAGAAACAGCCTAAAGGAAACTGTTTGAAGCCTGAAATGTTTGTTCACTGTAGATAATTGCAAATGTTTTAGCAACAGCTGTGGGGTTTTTAAGGAGAAGTGAAACAGCGTGGGCCTGTGTTGACACTTCCTTAAAGCACCAATCTGGACTGTCCCATTATTGATGAGGACATGAACTGTCACTCAAAGGTTACACCCACAATTACACTATTATTGACTTTTTATTATTTTTTCAGTGAACTTCTCTTTATGGTATTTGACAGAAAAGCACTGGGTTGAATTTAGGTAAACAAATGACTGAAATAGGAAGATGATGAATTGGCTAGAGTTACTTTGTGATTAGAGGGCAGAAATTCATATCAGCCAAACATGATGGGCCAGGGTTCTCCTGGCTGAAAGGTGCTTAGGATCTGAGTGTGAATTTGGTTAACGTTCTGAAATAGGCTCAGAGTTAAAGACAAGCTGGTTATACTTCTAACATTTGGAGTTAACATGGTTAAACAGTCTGCGTGCTGATTATGCTCTGCCATTCTTCACAGATGATGGTTTTCAGCTGCTCTTTGCTAGAGGGTCTTTTTTCGCAACACATTCGACTTTTAAACACGCCAAATGAGATCTGTTAGATTCAAGTTGACGACGACGTGACTTTGCCAGGTCATAGTTTTCACTTTCTTCTTCTTTAAAACCCTTGTGATTTTCGCTGTGTGTTTGGGAAATTTCCTGCCACTTTCCACTTCCACCACTGCATTTCACAGATGGCACTGTGTGCAGTCTTGGCTGAATCCACGCCAAAGATGCTGGACCCCATCTGACCCATATTAATTTATTTTGGTTTCATCTGACCAAATAACATGCTGCCAGTACTCACCAGGCTTTGTCTGATGTCCTTTGGCAGAATTTAATCTTGCAGTTTAGCCCCGGTTTGGGAGCATTGATTTTCTTTTTGGACACAGTCTATATATGCACTGTTCTTTGAAATGTCTGATCAGCCACTGCAGCACCAGTTTTCACAGATAATCCTCGTGCCAAGCTAGAAGCACATACCGTCTGTTTATCAGTGCAAGGTCACGTTAAGTACAGAAACATGCATGGTGTCATATTTTGAGGACTGCTGCTGCACCTGCGGACTGAGGACTGTAGCTGTCTTTTGGCTTCTGATTAGTAGGTGACTGATGAGAGTGCATCCTCTCCAAACTTTATGAAGTCTTACAGTCTGGTTTATTATCTGTTTAAGCAAATACTCACCATGTGGAGCCATTTTGCATTAGACACAACCCAGGCCAAAAATAAAATTAAATAAATAAAAAAAGACATACATAACTTCAACAAATTGGTAATCTGGAATCTGACGGTGCCCATTACAGCCTGTATTTTCAGGTCTGTCTAACCTGTCCCAGGGACATCACTTTCGTTGTTTGCTGAAAATATGTCTTTCGTGTGTTGCAGTGTTGGAGTTCCCGGCCTGTTTCTCTTGTCTTGTTTCGTGCCTTTGAATGCATAAATCTGCATTAAAAGTGTTGCTGTCTAGAATGAAGAAGAACATCAAAACAAGCAGACAGACGCAGCACTGACCTATCTTTCATTTTGAACTGAAAAGCAATGGTAAAGTGACACTTGCCTCTCATCTCTGTTGCTTTGTCAGTATGAGCATCACTTTTCACATTAAATGTTTTCTTTTTGTTCAGTGTTAATGTGAAAATATTGCTTAATGCAGGAGCTGCAGTGACAGACAGCAGACAGACTAGTAGGAGGATTTGATTTTAGTGACATGCTTCAGCACAAAAGTTATATAGAGGCAGCACTCTTTTTATTTATTTATTTATTTGTTTATTTTATAAAGTTCTAGAGCTCAATGTCACTGACCTTTGACTAAATGCATTTGCTTTGTTTTAACCAAGTCTAGTACAGACAGGTTGTGCTAACACTTCTCCACTCTTCAGAAAGCAGCTTAATCTGGTCATGAGTTCCAGAGAAGACTGAGACAATGATGTGTTCATGTTAATGGATTTTAAAACCATCTGAACCTATTTCATCATTTACTGATACAGTATTTGTACTGCATGCAGGACTGATAGATGAGTTTGTTCTTCAGATGTTTCACAATGCATTATTACCATTTATTAACAACTGTCAAAGGTCTTGATAAACTTCAGTAAAGTCTGTGATACAAGACTCACTGAAATGTCCAGTGCTGCCAATGTTTAGTATTAATAATGCATTTGATAGACTGGTCATAGCTGGGTGATCACAAAAACGTCCCACAGCGTGCGAGTTAGTCTGGTATCAGCTGATGTTACACTGGAAATGCCTAGGCTCAGACTCTGGATGTCTCATTCACATTGGCTTCACTTCTCTTTTGTTTTTTTTTAACAACAGAGAAATGAAAATGAAATTGATTTGATGCAGGATTTTACACAAAGATGCATTTTGTAAGGTAGGAATTTTAGACATTTCCACAAGTAAGTCGACCTCCAGTGTCCTGTGAATGATGGAAATGTAACAGTAAGTTGTAGAGGTGTGTGCATTTGCGTACTTGCCTGGCAGCTTCAGTAACTTTAAACCTGAATGTTTGTCTTTGTCATCCTCTCTTTCAGGAGGACTCAGTCACTTCATGGACCAAGCCCTGTGACCACCTTTGGCCCAAAGGCATGCATGCTTCAGAATCCACAGGCAGTCATGTAAGTCATTTGTGTCATTGCTTTGTTTTTAAATTAGGCTCATGACCTGGTGTATGTGTTTCTAATTGGTCATTAGTTAACACCAGGTCTTTGGCGTCTGAGTATTAAAGAGGATGCTGGATCTCGTATTTGTCTAATAAAGTCAGAGCTCATCAAACATTACTGCTTCACATGTTTTTAAGCCATGGATTTAGTTGTAACACTGCAAATATTGAACCTTTCTTTGGACATACATGGAATTGGTTGTTACTTTGTAAACTCTAACACAGTCAGCTGTCATATGGTGCTTACTTATTTGGCAAGTTGAAGCCTACGGTTAACACCGCTTTCCTCATTCTACATAAAAGGGAAGGACATAAAATACATCTTGTTAAACTCACAAAGGGTTGTACCCAGTACAACAGACTGGCAACAGAGCATCTTTTCATGCAGATTTTACTAGATTTCTCCCAGCTGAAAGTCAAAAGGCTGTGGTGGAGCAGTGGAAAATGTTTGGTGTGTGTACATGGGCATAACAACAGGACAATGTGAAGCTTCTCCGCCTTTCTTTCTTTTTCAGTTGTTTGTTGTGGTTACACAAATAACATTAACTCCAGTGTTTTTAGCTGAGGCTCAACTGTCACTGTCTTTACCTGCAGTTTAATACTCACTAATAAATAATTCATTTAGAGCAGAAAACTTAACACCTACAGTGTCTTTGTTAAATAATTAGACCCCTTCACTTTTTGCAAAGTTTACTGTGTTGTAGATGTAATTTTAAAAGGGCAAAATTGCCATTTTTCTCAGTCTATACTCAATAACCCATAACGACAAAGTGAAAACATGTTTCCAGAAAGTTTCAAATTCTAATCAACAACAGAAATCGCTGTTTGTCACACAGCGCCTCAGATGATGGCAGGACACTGGGAGTGTCTTTGTTCCATTTACACTCCTGCTCAGCATGAGCTGTGACGTTAAACCAAGGCTGAACTGTAATTTCAGGTTTTCTAGCTTTACAAGGGGCAAAGAATAGAGTCAGGAATATTGTGAATGTTGTAACCAGCTCTTCTGTGTCATGGCCAGCAGGGGGAGCTTTAATGAGAACAGATGAAATTGATATTGATCACCTGAAAATTGGGAACTTCAATATCAAGAGTTAAAAAAAAGGCCCAGAATATTCCCACAAACTTGTGCAGATTGAGAGTCAGTCAAGATGTTAAAAAAAAAATTCAGATTCAGTAGCTGCAAAAGACAAAACATCAGAATTAATCAGTAAAAACCTTGAGTTCTGGAACTGACTGTTCAAAACTGTATTATTAGCCAGTGGATAAAGGTTTACAGGTGAAAATCCCAGCCAGGCTGCCACCATATAAGGCATAAGACCTGGTAGTATTTCTACTAGGCCTAAGTATTGGTAGAGGTATACTGGCAGGTGTAGGGGGAGCGGAGCTTATAGAACATAGACCCTAACATTCACCTAAGCTCCTGCTGAGACTATGTACAAGAGGTGTGCATGTGTAAGCCTGTAGATGCGGTGCCACACACTGTAATCAATGCCGTGCAGTGTTCCAACAGATTACTGTACAATGTTATCAGTACCATTCTGACACATTATTAGCAGAAGGTGCACATTTCACAAAGGCACAAAGATGTTTGTTTAAGAGCAATTGCATTGTCGATAAAATGAGCTCATATTGGTGTAAGGTGTCCACCTGCTGAAACTGTAGTGAATCAGTAAACAGATTTGAAAGACTCTGGATAGTAGCCAAACAGGGCTTTCTTTTTTTTATATTCCAAAATAAAAGCTAGGCTGTCGTACTCAGAAGGAGGAAAAGAGACACTATGCAAATGTTCTGTTGTTGTGTGACTGCTGGCCACAGGCGTTGTGCTTCCGTGAATGTAACAATGGAAGGAGGATATTTATCATCACAGACCTTCCAAACCTGAAACTCACCATTTTGTTAATTCTCATGAAAGGGTGTTTTAATGCTCAAGGTACTATATTGACCCCCGAGGCCCTTAACACACCCTGAAATGAAACGCAGCAAGGAGTCGCTTTAGAACCAGCCACTGTTAGTGTGTTTGGTCTTTTATTTTATGTGGCCTTCCTTATAAACAAACGTCCCATTGTTAAGTTAAGAGGTATCAGACTCTACACAGATACCAACTGTAGCAGTGTGTTTGTGAAATACCACAGAACATGACTTATACACAGCTCAGCTGTCATAAAGTGAATCAGTCAGCTTACTGAGTGTTGTCTGTTCAGTCGATGAAGTTCTTAGTCAGTCACTAGAACATTTTGACAATTAAAAATAAAGAGGCTTCTCTTGAAAGACCTTTAAGCCAATCACACAGTGGCCTTTTATTCATTCTGGAAATATCGAACGACCTATGCGTTTAATTCATAAGAAATTCTCTATCATGGTTTCCACGTTCATTCACATGAGTTACAGTAGATTCAGAAAGTACTCAGGCTTTGTCATTATGAAGTATTGAGTGTAGACTGATGGATAAAAATTGCAGTTTTATCCATTTAAAATTCATTCTGCCACATTAATGGTGCAAATCGTGATCGGGTCCAAACACTCGCTGACGCCACAAGATAAATGCAGGTTCCTTTTCTAGGACACATCTGATTGGTGGTTGAGTACTACACACTATTCATTGTATATGGCATATTTCACTATAGTGTGTGTGCTACACTGTTTATGCCTTTTATACAGTATTACTGCTGTACATACTGTATAAGATAAGGAACCTTCTTGCTGTCGCCTCACAGCAAGAAGGTTCCAAGGAAGCAAGTTTGTTCTCAGAGATATTCATATTAACAGAACCAGGTACTGTATGTTTAATTCTTCGTGGATATTGCAGTGGGACACTAGGAAGCTCAAGTACATTCTCTTTTTCCTGTAACACCACTACATCATTTACCCACATAGCCCTGTTGATTTCCTCCTAGACTTCCCCTCTGGCAGTGCAGCAGGCCAAATAATTTCTTCCTTGTAAATGAAACATAAAATAATTGTTGTGACTTGGCAGAAAATACATGATCACATTTAATAATAGGGGATGTTTGACATAGTTGTGCAAGTGAAAGAATTCAAACTTAAACAGAAGACTGATTGTAGTACAATGGGACTATAATACCTGTGATTACTGTTGAAATACCAGTTGTAGGAACAGCAGTGACATTGTTGTTTCCCTGAATCACACCTGTCCAATAAGGAAAGCGATTCCCTGAAATGGTTGGGTGCAGCCCAGCTGAGGGGCGGGTGCTGAGATGAAGTCAGCCTTTAAGATGAGTGAGAGCTTTAACTCAGCAGCAGAATCCACCGGGAAGGTTTAGCGTTAAGTCCTCAATGGGACAAATATAGCCCCAGTGAATCCAGCTCAAGGAGTTGTTAAGCCGATCCCGAGCCCAGCGCACAGAGAGACTCTCAGCCTCTCGCACATCTGGTGGCCAACTCGCAGCTCAACCTCAAGAAGTGAATGGACTCGGATGCTCCAGATGCTCAACAGTGTGTAGCATTTGAGGAAGCTGTTAAAAGCAGAATGAGTTCTTTGGTCAGCAACCTGGACAGAGCCTTGTTCTTCAGCTGAGTCAACCTGAAGCAGCATCCTTGTTACGTGTACAGCCATGAAGTTCAACACAGTGCAGGACTCACCTGGGAACCGTGACAAAAATAAAGTGTGGAAATGGTGAGAGGGGTTCCTCTTTCAACAGACCAAACATGCTTGATAGGTGAAATGTTAATTGGTGGGCGGCGCACTGGAGTAGTGTTTTGTTTTTGTTTTTGCCTTTTAAGATTTTTTATTTTTGAGAAATGAGCAGACTTAACTAAGACCTGACCATCTTCACTGTGCAGGGCTGCATTGATCTCGAGGGCTGACGTTATCAGGGTTTAGCGGGACCATATGTATGGCTAGTTGCAACACCTTAGATGTGGCCAGTGTTTGTGTTTTATCACAGACTGCCTGTGCGTTGTAACAGCGTGGCCTTGTGGTTTGAACAGCTCGGGATTGTTGGAATGGAAGCAGAAGGCCAGGGTGTGGATGCTTTGAGGTGGTCAGCGGAGGACATGTCCATGAATAGATCCCAGCTTGCTGGTGCTTCAAATGCTAATAAAGTATTTCTTTGTGTCCTGTATTTGTGTTTGAAGCACAGCCTGCCCCGTCTGGGTGTTCTGTTTGTACTCGCCTATGTTTAGGTCAAACAGGTTCACTTAATGTAGGGAATGTTTTACTATATCTGGGTCTTTGCCTCTGACTGTGCTACATTTTTTAAAGGTTCGATGCCACAGTTACCTTTACATACTGTTCAGTGCAGTCTGACAGAAGTGATTATTGCTGGTAAATCATGTGGCAATTTTAAGGCTTTAGTTTGTGTGTTTCAGTAGCACAGGGAGTTTGCAGTTTTTATACCATCCAGCAGCTGATTTCAGAGGATGTAGTAACATCTCCTAACAAGGTCCTCAGGTGGGGAGGAAGCCTGCACAGTCTTGTTGCAGATTATGTCCTGTGGCTGCATCTTCCAGGTTCAGTACCGCTGGAGAGCTAAATGTGTTTTTGAATACAACCTCTGGCAGTTTGGGCAAAGTTGAACCAGAATTTATTTATTTGTACAAAGACAACCAGCACTAAAGTGAAAGAGAACATGCACTGCTAGCTTTGTTCTAGATTTCTTCAATAATAATAATATATGTTTCAAGCAGGGTCAGGGGAAGGACATGTTCTGCTTCAAGTGGGGAAATTTGAGAGCTGCTGCCAGAGCACACAGTTAACCACCTGTGAATTTATGCATTCACATGAACTGCTGTTACATGCTGTGTGTAACGCCTTCAACTTCAGCTCCATAACAACAACTGCATGTACTGAATATACAGTAGCTCCCATACCTTCCAACACTGGGGGCTTGAACTGTTCACACAAATTAACTGGCGTCAACAACAACATTAATTGACACTATTCATTTATGATTTCTCATAAAATGAAACTGAGTGAAGCTGTTCGCTCCTTTGAACAGATGCAAATTAGGAATCATCGCATTCTCTCTGAGACAGCTGGTAGTAACCAGGCTTGAAAGGTGTGATTAGCATCAGAACCACAGGCTGATACTGATGCTAATTCACGAGCTATTTAAAGCAGCGAAAGACGGCTGAGATCTAGTTTGAGAATGTTTGGGTATGTGGACGGCCTGTGTCAGCACGACCCTGCCTGCAGGTATAGATTACATATTCATTAAATGACTCCAACTGTGGTTTACTTTTGCATTTATTTTATGCATTCTAAAAGTTGTCAGCTGTCTCAGCTTTTACACCCTACATTTAGATGTAAATCACGAGAGCGGTCATTAGATATTTGGTAGTGGGGGGGGATGTGTCATGTGGCACATTGGGAGGTTTTACAGGATTGTTGCCTCTGTCAACGCAGTATTTGGAAATTCATCATTTATATCCATATAAGAAAAACACTTCTTTAGATTTCTTACTTTTAGTGAGGTCAATTTAATATAACAACTTGTTTCTTCAAATCTAGACTTTGTTTTCATCACTGTTCGATTCATGTGTGACACAAATGCAGTAGTTCTACCTCTTAATGTGCTAATGCAGTACACTACAGTACAGTATTATTAGTGAATGACTGTGTTCTTTTATTGGACAGATCTGAATAACGAAGGAGTCCGTCTTTCTTCTTTTTTAGTGCTGGTTTATTTTAAACCACAAGCAAAATTACAAAACACAACCCAGGTGGCTCCCCCTTCCAGGCATCCCTATGCAGGCTGCTGGAAAAAAAAAGAAGACCCCTGAAACCCAGAGCCTAATACATTTATAAGTTTTTTTTGGCTGACCCCTTACACTGATGAAGTCAGTCCACAGACTAACCCTCCACAGGCTTGGAGCAGCTGGTCATAACAGAATGAGGAATTTCAATGTGTGTGTGTGTGTGTTGTCACGTGGTGCTTAGCTAAGACATTCATTCAGACATAATATGCTAACACAAAATTTAATACAAGAAAACAATTGGTGTCATGGTAACTGTAGCTCACATTTCAGAATCAACACTCTGTCTCTAACCTTGAAACAGCAGACTAGAGCAGACTTTGAATCTTACTAAATTGCATTACTAACACAAGATTCAACACATTAATGTCTAATAATTACTAATATCTAACAACTGCTTGAATGTTGTAATATCACAGAAATCAATACTTTTATAAGACTGTTGTACAATCAGTAACTAAGGAGTTGTAACAAACTCACCAGACTTGGGTGTTGTTAAAAAAACACCACAGTACTGTTTGATTTATTCTTTAAAGCATGTAGAGACAGTTGATATATCAACACACATAATTTTACACATAATCCAATACCAATTTGCTTATACCTAGTACATGCTTGAATGGAGTAGGAAGAAGTCAGACTTATCCAGTCCTACCCCATGACATCATCTTACCATCATTGGTTTGCAAGCAGTATCTCTACAAAGATAATTCTCTTCTACACCACACAAGTAATATACTAAAAAATAACAGTGTCAACATTTCACCATAATTACATTCTTACATAATTATCTTCTACACCACACAAGTAATATACTAAAAAATTATTACAAAGTGTACACCACACCCACAATGTTGGTTTTAGGATCTGACTTTTAGAGATCCTTTTGCCCTCTTTTCTGTCAAAGCATCACTCCTGCATTTTTGTCCTTGACAAGGGACTGTCAAGTCTGTTTCGCCCTCAGGTGAAGGTTGTTTTTTGTGTGTTCAGGCACATTCAGGACCCCGCCAGCCAGAGACTAACTTGGAACAAGCCGCCCAAAAGTGTCCTTGTCATTAAGAAGATCCGAGATGCCAGTCTGCTTCAGCCTTTCAAAGAGCTCTGCATATTCCTCACCGAGGTATGGCCACACATTTACCAACACACACTGGGATCGGGCGGCCTTGAACAATGAATGCGGGTGTTTATCAGTGGAAAACTGAGGAGGGATCAGCCTAGTAATGTAATCATGCCACACTTTGTTTTCAAGTGACCGCATCTCTTGAACACTTTTTTCCCCCCATGCCTATCACTCATCTTGTCTTTGTGTTGTTGTAGGTGAAAAACATGATAGTTTACGTGGAAAAGAAAGTTCTGGAGGACCCAGCTATTTCAGGAGATGAAAACTTTGGGGCCATTACTAAGAAATTCTGTACTTTCACAGAAGGTATGAAAACTGGCCAGTCACCTTTGTCGTCAATGTGTGGACACTATATTAACAACAGCATTCAGAGAGTGCATGTACCACTGCCAAGGCACAACATTCACTCACACAAATGGGTCCCTTTTGAAAAATGATATCCAGAATAACACAAAATGTGTCTTGAAATCCTTGATTGGGTTTAGATCCAGATCATCTTTTAGGGTATGATAGGCAGTCGCACTGTGAATCTTACCTGAACATTTCTCGGTTCTGTCTTCATTACAGGCCGAGTTATGATAGAAAATATTGTTTAAAAGGGGTTTTCAATGTTAAATTTAAATGGCCTTCAGATCTGAATGAAATTTGGTTTGGTGAGAGACATTGCCTTATCCCCACCAATGTCTGTCCCATGTATACTGATGATCCATCCAGCCCTTTAACAGACACATGGAACCAAAACCATAACCTCCTTGGCAGAGGTAAAGATCATTGTGGAATTTATTGAAGATGTTTAAAAGCTTCACTGTCTTGATATTTCTCAGATCTTGATGACATCTCCAATTGTGTCGACTTCATTATATGTCTCGGTGGAGATGGAACTCTGCTGTATGCATCCTCACTTTTCCAGGTATCTAGTGCTCGTCACTTTAAAAACGTGTTTTGTTAATGTATTGCTTTGTTTCAATAAAGAAGAAAAAACTTTAAAAACATCAATTTATATGTTTACTGATATGATTTAAGAGCATTCTCCTTCCTTTGCGTATTTGTAGGAGAGCGTTCCTCCAGTCATGGCCTTCCACCTGGGCTCCTTGGGTTTCCTGACACCTTTTAAATTTGACACATACCAGTCTCAGGTCACCCAGATAATTGAAGGTACTGAATGTTATCTAACCTGTCATTGTCAGCCTCACTCTTTCTGCAGAGTAAACAGTCCAGTTGTGTTTGCAAAGCAAAGCTCCAGTTTTCATTTATGTGTACTGTGTGTAGGTAATGCTGCCATTGTCCTGCGAAGTCGCTTGAAAGTCCAGGTGCTTAAAGAGAACTGGGAGAAGAAAGCCAGGCTGGACGATAAGGCCATCATCCTGACCAATGGGGAATTCGAAAGTTGCCACAAGGCCATGCAGTATGAGGTAGTATTTGAAGCTCAGACCAGTACATTAGTATCTCATGGCAACAAGAACAACATTTGGGCTTTTTGGGTAGGAAGTCATTAATTACACTAAAAATACAAATAGTTGCCGTGAGTACACTGACAGAGAGAAAACAGGCAAAAGGCCCTGTAAACAGCTTAGCGGTGTGATGTCACCATAATGACTGCCGTCTTTACCCTAATGCCCACAGGCTTCAACCTGTGGTTCAAGAACCACATGAGCAAAAAACAGTCACCATGTTTTCAGTTGTGGCTGACTGTGACCTGATGTCGGCCCAGGAGTTTATGGCAACCAAGAAATCACTGAAGTTAACACGCACGCGCGCGTGTGTGTCTTTCTCAGGTGCTCAACGAGGTGGTGGTGGACAGAGGACCCTCCTCGTATCTCTCTAATGTCGACCTCTTCCTGGATGGACACCTCATTACAACCGTGCAGGGAGATGGTAAGTGGGCATGCTCACAAGTTTCTAGACATTACTGTTGTGATAGAGAGGGCATTCATGATACAATACATCTCTAGTGAAACTCCAGCTTGATGTTTAAGTAAATTATTGAGAATACAGTAGATTTCCACCTATGAAAATAGTCATTAATAGTCAAACATCTGAATATAACACACTTAAAAATTCTGTTATTTACACCAGTTTATGTGACAAGCTCAGAGAAACTGCAGGTTGTTTTCACCTAGGAAGTAAAGTTAACTGTATACAGAGATATTAATGGCCCTGTATACCCTGTCGTCCTGCTCTCATTAACATGTTAAAGATGTACTATATATTATAGTAAAATAATTCTAATTCTTTAGCCCTACACACAATTTAAAGTCGGCCATAAACTGTACATTAGTGATGTTTTGTGCTAGAATGTTGTGCAGTCCTCTTGGGATTTTTATGTAGAAATTGTAGGTTTAAATTAGCACTCAAACAACAAAAGTACACCTCAGATATTCATTAGGTTTATTGTTTAAATCATGTTACTGTAAATTGAATGTCTTTGGGACTGTTAATTGGACAAAAGAAGCCATTTGAAGGCGTCACCTTGGGCTTTAGGTATCATTCACTTTTTCTGGCATCTCATAGACTAAACACATATTTCACTCAAATATAATCAAGATACAGTATTAATTGTTAATGAAAACATCTTTAGTTGTTGGCCTAGTGGGAGTACATCTGTTTTTCTGAAGCCACTACAGCGTGGGGATAAAGTAGGATTTTATATGTATGTATGTATGTGTGTGTATATATACACTGCTCAAAAAAATAAAGGGAACACAACATAGTTGAATGTCTTATTTTTGTGTTCCCTTTATTTTTTTTGAGCAGTGTATAATTTTAGCATTTTATTGTGCTGTTTTTTTATGACATTTGTGGCGAGAGTGTTTTTATTGTGAAGGATTGCTTGCAATAACCCCTATAATGGCTGCAGGAGAAAGTAAATGGCTTTGCTGTCTGTGTCCCCTCAGGTCTGATAGTATCTACACCTACAGGCAGTACAGCGTACGCAGTGGCAGCAGGAGCTTCCATGATCCATCCCAACGTCCCAGCTATCATGATCACCCCCATCTGCCCACACTCGCTCTCCTTCAGGCCCATTGTGGTGCCAGCCGGCGTGGAGCTCAAGGTATTTATACTGGCTGTTTGAGTCTTTGAAGAAAGTGACACTTCGTAGCATTTACAGCTGCATTTTGATGAAGATTCTACACACAAGTATTAATTATTTCGTCTGAGGTGGACTATATTTTGAACTTTAGTAACTGTTTTAAGAGTGCAAATATTATCCTGAATTGTGCACTGAGGGCAAAAAACATTGTCAGCTGTAAAAACAAAATCGTGGTCTTTTTGTGACATTTCCACATTCTTGCTTGTCATTGTTTAGATAATGCTGTCACGTGATGCCAGAAACACAGCCTGGGTGTCATTTGATGGAAGAAAGAGACAAGAGATCTGCCATGGAGACAGGTTAGTCCACATACTGAGCTGGTCATCACACCTCAGCTACACTAACAAAAGACCAGGGTTAGAGGAGAGGCAGAGGACATAGTAATGAATACAGCTGCCTCAACCCTTTCAGGCTTTATGTAACGCGGTGTGTACAGGTAAATGTTGGGTGCGTTAGTAATATGAGGGCACACAAAGTGACTGTGCCACTGACTGGCAAAAACCAGGTCTGTGGTCAACAGTCAAATCCTCAGTGCTAGTTAATGGGCGCTGACCATGTTGTGATGATACGCAGCTGTCTAGGTGCGTGCACAGTGCTCATGCTCGCTTGTTATACCCTGGGATGCGCTGCACAGGGCATGCAAAACTTAAAAAGATGACACTGTGTTCATTGAGTGCACATCAATATATATGTATTTATATTAAATACCATTTTGATTAATGATCGTTCACCTTCACCTCGCGCACGAGCAGATCCATTTCCTCAGTGGAAAATCTTACTGATACCTGACCTGGCAACTCCGCCAAACATTCAAACTCACGCGTCTCTTAAAGGGGATGTGATGTTACACACAGTTTGGATAATTGAATGTTATGCCCAAAACACACCCCTGTTTTAATAAGTAGATCAAGTATAGCCCTTTTGCTATTTGCACAGGCGCGTGAACCGTTTTCCTTTGTAGTCAAATTACTGAAATGAACATAGACACACCCAAACACCACTTGCGCCACTACAGTGCCTTGCGAAAGTATTCGGCCCCCTTGAACTTTGCGACCTTTTGCCACATTTCAGGCTTCAAACATAAAGATATAAAACTGTAATTTTTTGTGAAGAATCAACAACAAGTGGGACACAATCATGAAGTGGAACGAAATTTATTGGATATGTCAAACTTTTTTAACAAATAAAAAACTGAAAAATTGGGCGTGCAAAA